CTTGTTGGACTCTTCACCCTCCAGAGAGGCAGAGGATGATGGAAAGACCGGGGTCTGCAGAGAATATGACAGGAATTTGTGTTTAGAGAGACAGAACCAACAGTGGTGGGATTCTGCTCCTTTCATTTTGTGCTACTTTTGTGGAACAGAGGGCGAGCCTCCTTCCTCCTCCTCCTCCTTCCTCCTCTTCTTTTCAGCTTTGGGAGTTTTATGGTTTTGTAGCCGTTTGGCTGCATGGGGGTAATTTTGCAGGGTGGTTGTATGTGTGTGAGAGAGAGTGTGTGTGTGTGTGTGTGTGTGTTTATTGTCTCCTGCCTGAACTCCCTTTGTCTCTCTCAGATGCATCCTTACAGCTCCTCCTCCCCAAAAACACCCAAAACACACCCAGACAGAGGGGCCGTCAGACAGGGTGAGCTGTGGTTGGCTCCCAGGCTTGTTTTCCGGGCCTGAAGGGCACAGCGGGGGCCCTCTGGTGTAAACATCTTGTCCACATGATGTTGAACCTTCTGCTGAAACACGGAGGAACCTTGAAGCGGGGTTTGGCCTCCAGAGCGGCTGTCTGCAGCTTTTAGATTGAAACCTGTGCGCTGTTACAGGGTTCAGAGACCCACAGGCTGAAACTGAGGATCTGAGCTGCAGTGACTTCACATGATGGTAACAACCGCCTTCACTGACTGTTTACAGCCCACACACACACACACACACACACACACACACTCACATTTTACCCACTAACAGAAAAGAAACGATCATCTGTGGTAACAAAACGGGTCTGTGCAGGTTGAACTGGACTTCGCAGATACACCCAGCTTCCATTCACTTATTCACATTTGTTTATTTGATTGTTTCTAACATCAGTGTTGCGTGTGACAACATTTCAGAAACGTCTATAACGCAGCCAAAAGAAAAACATATAGGTCTAAATATAATAAACACAAAACAATATTGACCATTTTTATTATTTATCTTTTGTAGGCTTAGTATTAATATTGTAGACCTATTGCATTTCTATTATCTCATTTTGTTTTATGACTGTATACATACATACACACACACACACACACATACACACACACATAGGCCTATAACATTTGCGTGTGTATATATATATATATATATATATATATATATATACTTTTTTTTCTTCATATATATATATATATATATAGGCCTATAGGCTAAGTTTTTTGTTAGGGTGTGTAATTCTTATTATATTATCATATTATATTATATATCAATAGGCTATATACTACTTTATACAATTATATGGGCTACATATATTATTTTATTATTTTTATTATAGTGTGGGCTATAATGATTATAAAATATATTACATAGCCTGCAATAGTAACATTATTAGGATGATGACTAAGATTATCATATACAAATCAATACATAAATACCGGGAAGAGGCGACCAAACACCGGAAACAAATGATAAAAAAATACCTATTAATAACGACAAAAGTAGACAATCGAACAAATATGCTTTAAAACGAACATCGATCTCGCATTATATTTATATTTATACACATTATAGTCATATTGATGCAGTGTAATAGGCCTATAAAAAGCGTTGGTATTAGCACTGCTAGCTCTGTGGACGCTTCTTACTTTGAAGTTACAAGCAAAAGCGCAAACTGACTTTTTAACAACTGCGCATTTAGCTGATCTTTATTTTGAAGCTATTAGTTTAATTTGCCAGATACAATAGAAAGGCAGCAGCTCATTCCAGGTACTGCTCTTTGTCCACCCATCTGCAGTTTCCAAAGCTTACAGCAGCCTACAGTTCAGACCTGACTGTCTAACAGTGGAGGAAATATATAGGCTGCTGTTTAAAAGTCATTAAATGTATCAGCTACTTTAGATGAGGTTAACCCCCCCCCCCCTCCATTCCATTTCCACTCATTCATTTCGATGTAACAGACCTGCACCGCCTTCATTTCACTCTTTTTTGTAACACAAATCCCAAACCAGCCCTCACACCCGGCCTCCAATTACAACACGCAGTTTCATTTTGAAACAGCTTTTTTACCTTTATGTGCGGACTTAAATAACCGCAGTCACATTCCAGACCAGCCTCCCCCCCCCCTCCTCCCTCTGTGGCCTTACTGCGACTGACCGCTTGATGGCGCGCTTGCTCCACCGATAAACCAGGACTCGCCTTGACGCTTTGTTGCATTCATGGAAGACACAACACGCAGGGGCTCCTGTAAGGGGGTCAAACTCGCCGTATCCCTCCTCTTAATGTGTTGTAAATGGGTATTTTTTTAAGAAAAAGTGAAGTGATTGTGCGACTTCTCTTTCTGACTTTGCTGCAGAACATCCTGACATTTGAAGCAGCTTCAAGTCGTTCCACAGCGCACAGGGGATGAAGAGAGAGGAAGGGTTGAGGCCTTGGAAAATAATAGCCCATATAGGCGTGCAGGATATGTATAGGTTGGCAGGAAATGTTTATTTTTCCTGGTGCAAAATTCATACTAAGAACGCACGCACCTCAAACTTTTTGTGGCTCTACTTGGGAGGCTGTACAAGGCTCGGAGCCTATAGGTGGAAAGAATGTGTGAGGGGTAGTGCGCGTGTTTCCCCAGGTAAAGTATGAAAAGATACACAGAGACCTTTATGTGCACTTCTTTTACAGTCAAATTCAGACCCAGCTAAATCCATTCTCTCCACTGTTTAGATGTGTTAATGAGTGTGGCCTCAGAGGAGATCCAGCCTTTGATGCGTCTTCCTGCTCCAAATGCCGGAGGATCTGCTGTGCAGTTGTTGACTGATCCAGCCTGTGCGTCTCTAACGCTCATTGAGGCAGTTTGTTGTTTACAGGAATGACCTGATAGCAGGCTTTCACGCCCTAATTTAGTGCCTCTTGCCTTGACAGCGGGGATGTGTGGACACTTCAGGCTCCGTGCGAAGTTGGTCAGAAAATGTGTTAATGTTTTTTTGGGGGGCACCACATTCACATCTCAACAGGCAGACAACAGATCACACAAGAAACGCCTTTATTGGAAGTGTAAAACACGGCGCGGTGAAGTTTCAATAAGATCATATTCTAGGTAATAAAGTGGGAAAATACTGCGGCAATTACTCCTCTGGAAGTCGGATGTACAATCAGCTGATTTACCACAGTCTGTAATTCAAGTGTGCGCTGGCAACATTTGGGCCTCTTGTGCTGCGCTGTTTAATCTAAGTAAATTAAATTCGGATAATGACATATTTATTTGGAGGACATGAGCGCGCAATAGCTCCAAAGCCAAATCATTTTTACCAGAATCAAAAGATGAACTTCTGATTCCTCGCACAGGACTGCGTGCACTTCCAGCGGGAGCCCACATCACCAATTCCTCATATCTGATTGATCGGCAGCTCTCAGGCCTGTGGTGAAGACAAATTAAGTCTCTATCAAAGAAGAAATAACTCCACAATTGAATTTTTTGGGGGGTAATCACTGCACTTCAGGCCATCTTGCTTTTTACGAGCCCCGGCTGTTCTACTAGGCCGAGCTTAACCTTCCCACAACTTACCCCTCGTTAGAAAAGCCCTCCCTCTACCTCAGCTCAAACAGGGAGGACCGATGCTCGTATGGAAAACAGGGCGAAAATGACAATTAAATACCGGCCAACGATGAGGCATTTACGGCCTCCGGTCGCGCAAAGGGCGCGTCGTAAAAAGAACACTTCTTGTTTCTCTGCTGCACGGACGTAAACAAGCAAACACTGCCCCTCCGCTTTATGGAGCTTTATAGTTTGTTAAAGCGTTTACGGGTCCTTCCTCCGAGGATATTACCCTCCCCAGTCCTCCTTACACGTTTATGGAGATCACATTTATAAAAGTATACCATGATCAGAAAGGATGCGTGCAGGGCCCGGAGCTGAGCAGCAGCAGCAGCAGCAGCAGCAGCAGCAGCAGCCGTCAGGGATGGAACAGAAGACAGGAGAGGCTCCAGCTTCAGAGTTTACTTTTAAAACCTCAGTTACATTTATAGACTGGCACTTATTAAAACCGATAGGAAGAACTAGTCCTCCACCCAGTCTCTCTTCTTCTTTTCCTCAGTCTGTGTCAGCCTCTCTCTCTCCCAGGTTCCCTGACATTTCCAGGCCTCATCTCCAAGCAGCTCCGCTCCCTGCTTCAAGGATTCATGGGGAGAGATGAGAAAGAGCAATTAATGAGAGCGAGAGAGAGATTGCTTCTCAACTATGCGATGCAATACACCCCCCCCCCCCCACCACACACACACACACACTTTCACCCCCCCCACCCCACTCCCGCCACCCCCAACCCCCCACCCGACACCACTACCATCATCAACCGACCTCAATCTCAGCTCTACAATAATAAAAATCTCCATCTCCTTTTGTTTTGGTTGTAAGAATAGTGTGTGTGTGTGTGTGTGTGTGTGTGTGTGTGTGTGTGTGTGTGTGTGTGTGTGTGTGTGTGTGTGTGATCAGATGCAAAGCGGCAGACCTCTCATTAACCCATCCAACTCCTGCTTTCATGTTTGCTGCTGCGCCTCTTCTTCTTCTTCTTCTTCTTGTTCTTCTTCACTCCCTTTGCATCATTATAGGCGCGTGGAGCTCTTTCGATCAGACGCCGGGAGAATATCATCCAGGCTTATACAGGCGCGTGCGGGTAAAGGCGCAAAAAAAGAAGAAAAAAAGTGTAATAGACTCTATGTGTGTGTGCGTGCGCGCGCTCGTGCACGTTTGTCTATGTGCCTGGAAAAGCCAATGGGACGAAGAGCTGATAATAGATGCAAATTGTCCCTGAAACCGACTCATACACACACACATACACACACACACACACACACACACACACACACACACACACTAGGGCAAGGAGGAGAGAGAGAAATAGAGAAAGGGGGGGGGCAGCCAGAGAAAGCCAGAGAGAGAGAGAGAGAGAGGAAGAGAGCGAGAGAGAGAAAGAGAGAGCGAGAGAGAGAGAGAGAGAGAGAGGGAGAAAAAAAATATGAAACAACTCATTTGCAGAGGAGTAAATCACGGAAAAGCCGTTTGAGAGCGCGACAGGGCTCCCGCTT